AGATCAAGCTTAACGTGTACCACCGGTGGTACACATGGCACGGAACGTGTCAACTTGTGAATGTATTCATTTCTATCAACTGTCTGATTATGAAACGCAATGCGTTTGGATTGCGCAAGGGAAAAATTGGAAAACGTACCGTGCAGATTAGATCGAGAGGTCGACGATTGTGCCAAAGAAGGCGGGCTGGAAACCGGTTCTTCCTTGTCCACGGGCTTCGAGTCCAGTCGGATTCTTTCGCATTTTCCAGGCAGAAACTCCGGAGCCGTGGTGGAGAAGAAGATGTCTTGCTTCGAAGTAATCAAATTCAGATTCGGCATGGCGATCGTGTGCACTAGATTTCCATTGATTATCAATCGTATCTCCATAGTGTCATTGGTAAAGGCGATCACGTAGGGGAAGGCACAGGCTAGAAATTGTCAATGGCACAATTTATATATTTGGCCAGGCTAAAGGAGACGTTTTTACCAAGGGGTGAAAAACATGTTTTACCTATTGCGGCGGGAACAGAGTTCCAGTTGAAATCAAATTCCGTTGGTACGGTGTTCTCTTCCAGAAGCTTTTGAAAGTGACACGTATCTAGGAGAGATAAAGTTAAACAAGTTGAGATTACTTAGAACTAGTCGCCCTTATAATCAATCTACGTGTTCAAGTTCATCGAGACTGGTACCGGTTTGAAGCTGTCTTGTGCCTTATTTTTTTTCTTTTTTTTGTGCAATTACCTACCTGGTTTTTTAACATTTTTTTTCAACGACTATAATATATTCCTACATGTGGTTTCAAGCTTCAAGATTGGGAACTTATTCAGTGAAAGATACACAGAATTTGAAGTTTGAGAGCAGACAGTTGATCTACACATACTGTTGTAGCAGAGTAATAATTCAGGTTCCTCATCTTCGCAAAGGTCGAGAGCAGCCACCAGATGTGGTTTCGTCGTCCCTTCGACGTGAAGAATTCTGGTGCTTCCGGAAGCTGAGATCAGCTCAAAATGGTGTCGGACACCGCAGCAAAGCGTCCATTCATTGTTCAAGTCTGTGTTCTCGATAATCGTTACCAAAGACGGAGTCTCGCTAACATTGAACTCTTTCAGATGCAGAAATCCTTCGACGGTGTCTGTGTCTGCTGCGGAACACCAAGCAGTCCAAGCGGCACTATGTTTCCATTGCAGAACTGTTAAACGTCGTCCAACCGCTACGCACTGTAAAAAATTATAGGTGTGAATCGTACAGATAATTTATCATCATCATCATCATCATCATCATCATAAATATTGGATCGATGATTTGAGTATTTAATCGAACTAGTTTGCAAACTGAATTACTGAAAATCAAATCGTTTTTTAAGAAAATAACTTTTTACGTATTTAAGTGCTTCAGTGATACATACTTGTGTACTGTCTGTTGATGCACACGTATATAGATAGGCAGGAATTTCTGTTGCGAGATTAACTTGAGAACTCTTTTTCGTTACTTTCGAATCGATCTTATCATTTTATAAATAATATCGCGATGCTTCTTCACAGGAGGAATGGAAAAGTCGCGTTCGAAGACGAAGGTTGACTTTTTTCTTTAAATACATACCATACGCAAATGGGAACCACCGGGCATAGTAATGGTGTACAAGTGGCAGCCCCGTGTTCTAGGTAGCCTTCTTTCCTTTATGTGCGCTCGTCCCCTGACGGCCAGGGGACGAACACGAACGTGAGCACGACGAATCACGGGCTTGAATTTCGTGGTGGCCCGCGTGAAACTGTCGTAATCGTTCTCTTCGCTCTCGTCAGCTTCGTCATCCACGTCGTCCTCGTCGGCGTTATCCTCGTTCCTGTCCTGATCGTCTTCGCGGTCGTTCAGGACCTCGGTACACCTGTTCGTCGTGTTATTTTCGAACTCTCGTAGACGGAAAACGTAGACGTTGCTTTCCTTGCCTTTGTCACCGGTTCGAAACAACAGTATCCCGTGCTGTTCGACCACGTTCAACTGTTTGATCTGCACGGACTCGTCGAAGATCAATCTGTGCGATAGGCTGTCTGAAATCCATAGGAAATCCATCGTGCAGAATTTAAGAATCTTTTTCTTTCCAGTTGGTTGGCGAGAGGTTGCTTGACCGTCGACTGACCTTCGATCAGAAATGTTCCATTCTCGGTGGCCAGGATCAGCCTGCTATCCAGCCAAACGTCGCCGCAGACGACTTCGTGTGGGAAATCCGGATAGATACACCTCGGCTCCCATGGTCTGGGCTTCAAAGGGCCAGCAGTGGCCAAGGAGGTCGGTGCCAAACCTCTGACGATCGCCTCCAGTTTGAGGGCCTGGCCGACACGCACCATCTCCACGGCACGTGTCTCCTCGCGACGTCGACCTGGAGCCTCCACGACATCCGACAATGCTCGTCGGTTTAACATGCTCTGCGAAAATTCCACCGGTTTTCCTTTCTACGGGGGCCCGCGAGGGAACAACCAACGCATACCGTACAAACGCGCGTAATTTTCTTACGTAATTCTGATCATGGCCGTCGCTAGGTGAATTAATAGCGTTGCAAAAGTCGTGCAAAGTCGTGCAAAATCGTGCAAAATTTCGAATCGTCTTCGAATGTTGATCATCCATTTTGATTCTTTGGACGATACTTGTAATCCCTGACATTTTTAAGTAACGATTCACGCTGTATGAAAGTATAAATGTTAATAGTCTACATCTCAAGGAGAAGATAACTGGCAGATGAAAAAATAAATTTGGGACTCGATCTTGGTGTCTCTTTCTACTTTTGCAAACTTTCTAGGAGGATTCGACAACTTTATTTTCTAATGGCATCCGTTGTCTCATTGTCTAATGGAGAATCATTCTTGAATGTGTAACGTCACATCACGGACATATACACAGGATGGGTGAAAATTCAGAATAAGGAGGATGACGACGTTTTTAAATGAGTTTCGTTTGTCGACTCGTAACAATCTTTCGCCCGGGCGAAAAACCAAGAGGAAAGAAGAAGAAGAAGAAGAAGAAAAAAAAAGAGAAAAAGAGATATTATCGTTGAACAGACTTACGTTGCTCTTGCTCTCCTGCGAGTGTTCTTGATACATGTCCCGGAGAAGAGCGTCGAGGGTTCTCTCCCTCTTCTGGGCGAACGTCGGCGTGTTGAACGTGGCCTTCTCGCCGTTTATCAGCTTGACGAGCAGAAACTCTCGCAGTGTGTACGGGTCTTCGAACACCGGTGGACACGGAAGGCTCGGGCCAAACAGAGGGACATTTTCGTCGCAGTAGATGGCCACGCGCCATCCTTTGCCGCCTGTTTCCGCCGACACCACGGCAAACACGTCTGCTCGCATGAAAGTCGGAACGAAAGTGAATAAATCGTCGATCGAATCGTGATAATCCGACGGTAGAGAAAAAGAAAAAAGCTGCGTAAATTGACTCACGAGTAAATTGACTTCTAATGCAATTCGGGTTGAAAGTGTCAATGGCGTGAGGGTCGTCGGTGTAAACGATGTTAACGATATCGTTACCGATGTGTCGCTTTCTCTCCAGTTGTTGCGGGTTGTCCTTGGAATAGGGAAGCATCGTGCTCACGTGATACATCACCTCGTGTCCCGCGTACACGGTGTAATAACTTTCC